TGGTAAATGAACAGTGTCTGTGGAGGGAACAGAGGCAGGGACCTCAGCAGGGAACCAACAGGGACCTCAGCAGGGAACCAACAGCTGGTGTTGGTTCCTTTCCAGGGCTGCCAGAGCTCCAGGAGTGTTTGGACAAGCTTTCAGGCACAGGGTGGGATTGTTGGGGTGTCTGTGCAGGACCAGGAGCTGCACTGGATGATCCCTTTGGGTCCCTCCCAGCTCAGGACATTCTACAACTCAATGATAAACATTTAAATTCTCACAGCAACTAGTGCTGGCAAAACTGTACAGAAATGGTTGTTTTAAAGGAGAAAGCTCTGACCAAGCCCTCTGCCCTTCCCTCTGCAGGTTGAGGACTTGTCAGATTCGGCCTTCGCGGCTCGGCACGGGAAGTGTGAGGAGATGGAGCGGGCGCGGTGGCTCTGGAGCACGAGTGTCCCCCCGCAGCGCCGGGGCAGCAGGTACAGCCCTGCCCAGCACTGGGGGCTCTCTGGCATTCCTGCAAGTGGCTGAAAGCTGGTGCTGGTGCTGAAAAGTGTGGTGTCATCCAGCTTGAGGAGCCAGTGTGGGAGTGGGCACAGCCTCGCTTAGGTGGGGATGAAGTCACAGCCCAGTTTGGCTGCAGATATCTGCACCAAGTGCTTCCTCAAGCATTTCTACTGCTCCAGAATGTGGGAGATGCTGTGCCAGCCCAGGAGAAGGCACAAGGCTTGCAATGGCATCGCTCCTGCAGGATGAGGGGCACTGTCACTGGACACTCAGTTCCCTTTCTGCTGTGTCTTTGATTGGGTGTCTAAAACCACCACTGTTTCCAGCTGTTGATCTCATCCTAAACCTGCTCAAGAAGAGATTTGCTCTTCTCAGTTCCATCACCAAGGGTTTGGTTGCCTGGAGTCACTTGGTTCTGGGGCAGAGCCACAGCTCTGTCCCTGCCCAGTCGGTGCCTGCCATTGTGGGGCTTCCTGCAGGTGAAACCTGGCCTGTGTCTCCTCCTGCTGCTGCTGCTGCCCTCTTTCCTCTGCAGCTGCAGTTCCAGTGCTCCTGGAGAGTGGGGTGTTTTGCTGTTTCTTTAGCCCATTTCTTATATCTGAAGTCCTTGATGGCCACTTGCTGTTGCAGTTCATCTTGGAGAGCTGCACGTGGATTTGGGAACTCAGTTGTTTCTCTGCTTGTAGCCTGTGGGTTTTTACCTGGGCTCTGTGTCAGAGCTCAGACTTTGGTAATTCTTGGTTTAAATCTGAGGTCTCGGGGTTTCACTGTGCTCCTCCTGCTCCCAGCTGCTGAAATTGCTGCATTTCCAGCATTGCTGATTCCCTGCACTCAGTCCCTGAGCTGCTGCCAGGGGTCACCTGGTGTGAGGAGGGGGAAACATTTGGAAGTGCCTTGATTCCATAGGGACCTTCACTCATGGTGTTTGTGCAGCACTGGGGGTGCAGGAGATGTGTGGGACTGAACCTCAGGAGAGCAGCATCAGTGATGCATCCAGACAGTGGAAAGGGGGCAGGGATGGTCTCTGGGCTGTGGCATTCCCTGCTCGAGTTCCCATCAGGGCAGGATCAGGCAGCATTTTCCAGGGGAAAAAGGAAGTAATTTCCCCAGGGTCTGGGCATCAGATGAAAGCTGGCCTTTGGGACTCTAAGGACTTGCATTGGCCTAGTTTCTGACCACTTGAGTTTTGGAGAAATCCAGCAAAATTTGCAAATTTCTAGCGTGGGTGGCCAGGCATGCCTCTGGGCATGGCTGGGCTCTCAAACCTTCTCCTGTCTCAGGTCCTACAGATCAACAGACGGACGGACGACCCCCCAGCTGGGGAACCCCTCGACTCCCCAGCCAGCATCCCCTGAGGTGGGCAGCTACCACTCCCACCTGGAGCTGTCCCACACCCACTCACCACGCAGCCCCATCAGCCCCGAACTGCTCTGTGCCCCCCTGACCCCCCTGTCCCGGGACTCCCTGCGGCTCCTGTCCAGCGAGGACACGCGCTGCTCCACGCCCGAGGCCGGCCTGGACGAGCAGGTGGGTGCTGGCAGGCGTGGCACTGCAGGTGACCCTGTGTGGGGACATGGTGTGGCACTGCAGGTGACCCTGTGTGGGGACATGGGTGTGGCACTGCAGGTGACCCTGCTGTGGGGAGGCAGATACGGCACCGCAGGTGACCCTGCTGTGGGGACACAGGTGTAGTACCACAGGTGACCCTGGTGTGGGGACGTGGATGTGGCACCACAGGTGACACTGGGGTGGGGACACGGGTGTGGCACTGCAGGTAACCCTGATGTGGGGATGCAGCTGTGGCACCACAGGTGACCCTGGTGCGTCCCACAAACATGGCACCACAGGTGACCCTGGGGTGGGGACGCGGGTGTGGCAGCACAGGTGACCCTGGCGTGGGCAGGCAGCCTGGGAGCCGCCTGCGGGCGGTGCTGGAGCGCTGCCCCGCTGCGATCAGGGCACTGCCAGCTGCTGTCTCCGTGTCCTCTCCACATCTGCCAAGCTTCCAGCCTGCCCCGGAGCAGCTCTGGGCTCCGGCTCCGTGCCGGCGGGGAGGACAGGCGGCTGCGCAGGGACTCGCGTGACTCGGCTCTCTCCCGCAGGCCGTGCAGCCCTGGGAGCGCCGCACCTTCCCGCTCTCGTACGACCCCCGGACGGAGTGCGAGGAGCAGCCCGACCCCCAGGACCGGCTCCCGCGCTGCACCCGCCGCACCTCGGGCAGCAAATCCTCCCGGGAATGCGATGGCACCTCGGCTTCGCCCAGCCTGCCCAGCCTCAAGAGCCGAGCCCCGCTGGCCCCCCCCTCCTCCTCCTCTTCCTCCTCCTCTTCCTCCTCCTCCTCCTCCTGCTCCGCAGTCCTGCGGCCAGCGCACAGATAGAGACACACGGGGAGACATGAGCAAACCAACACACAGAACTAACTCTTGGCATTAAAGCTTCCAAAATCTGCGTTTGATATTCAAACATCCTGCCGGGAATTTTCACAGTTTTTAGTGAATTTAAGGAGTTTAGAAACTGTTTTTTGTTTTCTTTTTTTTTTTTTTTTTTTTTCCTTTTTTTTTTTTTTTTGATTTTTTTTTTTTCCTTCTCCATGTTTCCTTGTCACATGAATGAGCCCCCAGATTCCTCCCAGCGGAGTGAAGCCTCGGGAGGGGAGCAGCCCACCAGACCCCCTCCCCTTTCCTCCCTCCTTTAGGTGTATAAAACTAGAGCACAGGATTTAGCTGACTAGCAGATTTCGGGGATAGTTTTTCCCACCAAAAGGGTGTCGTTTTCTCTTAACCCACTCCCCCCAACCCTGAAAGGTTTTAGTGGAGTGAAATTAGTGGTGAAAAGTGATGTCTTGGGATTGCAACCTTCACCGTCTGGCTGTCCTCACCTGCAGAGTGCCCACCTGCACTTCACCCTGCTGCGTTTTCCTGCCCCAGGTTGTAGTTCCAGGTATCCAAAGGGGGGATTCTGTCCCTCCCTGACCCTCGCTCTGCCCCTGGGGACACCTCTCCCTTCCTTCTCCCCTGCTTTGGAGCAGCCATGGCTGTATTCCTGGCAGGGGGAAGGGAGGGACCTTGTGGCTGCTCCACACTGAGCATGGCAGGGGTGGGAGTTGGGAAGCACCTTGTGCACACCCTGTGTGTGGCGAGGACAGGGAGGGGGAGAGTCCCCGATGCTTTGAGCAGGAGCAGAATTCCCGGAGCACTTGGATGCCCTTTGGGGTGAGGCTGTTCAGCTGGAGCTGGGCTGTGGGGTCGGGCAGTGGGGGAGCTGTGAGCAAGGAGCTGGGCCGGGGTGCCACAGGTGGGTTTGTGTCACACGGGGGGGCCACAGAGGGAAGGATGGATGCTCCGGGGGGATCAGGCTCATCCCGGTCCCGCGTGGGGTCACCACAGCTTCGCTCCACTCCCGCACCGTCCCAGCTCCGGTGTCGGTTCCGTTTCATTTCGGGGCGCCCGCCGTGCCCCCTCCTGACAGGTATTTGAGTTTGAACCCCGAGTTTGTCGTCGCTCCCCGTCCCCTCCCAGTTCCGCACCTGCAGCGATCGCGGTCCCCGCGCACCGTCCCCATCGTAACGCTTCCCGGTCCCGACGGTGTGGCTCCTGGGCCCTGTCCTGTTGCTAGCATTGTGCCTGTCTTATGTATAATCACATCACCAAAAAAAAAAGAAAAAAAAAAAAAAAACACGGGAAAAAAAATACAAAGGACTATTTTTTTTTTTTTTTTCCATTTTGTAATCGTAAAGAAATAGTCGCTGAACTGCTTCATGGTCGGGGTTTTCACAATTTTCAACATGATCTCGTGGTTTTGGTTCTGTTCTAGTTTCAAGGATCCGTCATCGTTTCTTTAAAACAAAAACCCAACAAACAACGGCGCTACCATATCCCTCTGCAGAAGTGCTTTTCTATTTATAAGGTTGAAAATTCTGAATAACCCTTTTAGCATTATAAAAACCACACAAAAAAAAACCCACCTTGTATTTTGTAAATATTTTCTTTTCCTGCTTTGAGCTGTGTAATGTCCTTGTTATATAGAAATGCTTTTCTTCCGAGAAGCTGATCTTTGTTAATGTCTTGATTCTGTTGGCAAAGCACAAATGTGCTTATAAAAAAAAAAAAAGAAGAAAAGATTAAAAAAAAAATTAAAATGTAATATTCCATTTGATGAGTGTGAAACGTTGGGCTGGGACAGGGAAGGGACCCTCAGTGCACTCAGATCAACTGCTTCCCTCCTGTGTTTCAGAGGCCTCTTTTTTCCTCTGTGATGTTATTTTCCAGCAGTTGCTGCCAGCAAGAGGAGGAACCCCTGGGCTGGGGGTTATTTTACATTTCTGGGGTTAACTGGGTGCTGCTGGTTCTCAGCCAGGGCCTGTTGGTGCTTCCTGGATCCAGCAGGCAGGATCACCCCTCTGTGCCCCAGTTAGAAATGCGGGAGCTTAAAAAGTAAAAAACTACAAACCAGTCCCTGATTCTGTGGCTGGGTCCCCCACCCCACGTCCCCCCATGCAAAAGAGGTGCCAATTACCGTTATCGTAGTAATGACTTTATTTCCAAATTCACTTTTACGGCAACAGTGTAAACCAGTTGTTAAACACACGATACACTATGGACACCCACAGACAGAAGCTAAGCTAGAATGATACACTGAGATCAAACCTTCCCTCCCCTCCCCGGCGCGGCGCGGGGGGCGCGGGGCTGCCAACCCCACACAGGCTGGCACCGACCTTGGCTAACACGCAGAATCTTTTGGAGTGCAGAAATACTTTTTTTTTTTTTTAAATCAGTGCCGGTTTTAACCCTTCTCAGACCCAGGATGTGTGTGGGGTAAAGGGAAAGCCGGGGGCCAGGCTGTCCGGCTGCTCGCCGGACCCTCGGGCCTGGGTCTGAACGCAGGGTTGGGGCAGGGGACGTGGCTCGGGCTGCTGGAGGGGACAGCGGGTGACGTGGTGGATGGAAAGGGCTGTCCTGGCACCCCACAGTCCCCCCCGGGCTGAGGACACTCAGGGTGGGAAGGGGCTGCTCCCTGGAGCTCGGTGCACACCAAGGCCATGCCAGCCCTGGTGTCCCTCAGGGGCTGCACGGAGGGGACAGGGGTGGCACAGGACGGGCCAGCTCAGCTACCCCGTCCTGCAGCCCACAAGGGGGTAAGGAGGTGATGCTTTGAGGGTTCTCCCAACTTGCTCGTTCTACAAAGGACAAAAAGCAGGCGGCTCCTACAGCGCTACGGAGTCGGGGACGGAGCACAGAGTCTTACAATCATGGAGTCAAGTGAACGGAGCGAGTGACAAGCTGGACATGATGGTGCTGCTGGACCAGCCTCTCCCCAGCCATAAAGCAGCTCCTGGGGCTGCAGAGACAAGGGTTGGACCCCCCCAGACCATCTCCATCCACGGCCAGGCCTGCGGCAGCCCAGCCCTGCAGAGGGACAGGGGTGACAGCGGGTTCACAGCTCCTGTCCGGGGGAGGAATCGCTGCTCTGCCCTGGAACAGCTGCTCTGGCAGCCTCGGTGGCACCCAGCCACCACCCCAAGGACAAGCAGGGGGCCCTGATCCCCCGGCAGCCCTGTCGGACCAGGATTGCAGCCCTGGCTGGGAAAGCACGGCTTTCCCTGCGGCACAGCCCGGGGGTGCAGGGGCTCCTCTGCCCTCCCACCTCCAGCTGAACCCCCAGAGCTCGGTGGGGCCCCCGGGGGAGACAGGGCAGGACACACACAGCTGCACTGGTGGCATCTCGGCCTCTTTGGTTGTAGAGGGAAGGGGCAGGCAGGGACAGCCTCGGGACCCCCTCGTGCTCCCCGGGGAGCCACAGGAACAAAAGCAGCCAAAGCAATAACTGGACTGGCTCCTGTCCCCCGAGTGGTGCTGGGGTGGTCAGGGCTGTGGGAGGGGTGAGACGCTGCCAACTCACACCGGGGAGCAGAAAAGGGTTCAGAAAGGGGGTTCAGAGCCAGGGAGCTGCCCCCGGGCTGGGGGAGCTGCTGCCGCCTCCCCCGCGTCCTGCCGGGGTCTCACCGCTGCCACCGGCGCAGCAGAGCCATGGAGCTGCCACCTCCGCCATCGCTGAGCTGACCTTGCAGGGAAAGAAAAAGAACAACCCAAAAGTGTCACAAGCTGCAGCACCCAAAGCCAGGAGCCATCGCAGCCCTGGAGCTGTGAGTGCCCCTCCTCCGAGCTCGCCCCGGCAGACATGCGGTGCCGGGCTGGGCACCGGGGCCGGCCGGGCTCCCCGGGCCCCCGGCTGGGCTGTGGCGGAGCCGGCGCGGGGCAGCTCAAAACTACTTAACAGCATTTATTATTTTTTTTTTTCTTTTAAACACATGCTCGTTTATGAAAACAATCACCCTGGCACGGTCCAAGCATATACAGACAAATCTACTCTACGACACGAGGGGCTGCCAAAGGAATGGGGAAAAGCCTCTACTCATCCACTCAGCGGTTCCAGCACAGCCACGGAGAGGGGAGCGGCCCGTCCGGGGCCCCTGGCGGCGGGCACCCGGCGTCGCCAGAACTCCAGCTGCCGGAGCTGGGAGCGGGTTAGGGGGTACCTGGCCGTTATCTTCATACACATCTCGGCTTTCGGAAATAAAAACAAAAAGTTTCTTCCAAATCAGCAGGCAAATTTAACGGGAGCGAGGGAGGGAGGCAGGGCACCTCCCCGCAGCCAGCGGCAGGACACGAGCCGGGCGAGGTCGCAGCCCCGTCCCGGCAGGGCCACCCCTGCCCTGCGCTGCCGCGGGGTGCTCGGGTCAGCGCCGTGCTGTGGCCGCCCCCCGGGCCCCCTCCCCGCCTTGCCCCGGCAGGGCTGGGGCGGCGAGGGGGAGCGCGGGCACGGGACGGGCTGTGCGCTCCGAGGAGCAGGGGGAGAGGAGGTTTTGTACCTCATAGTGTCACTGATTTTGAAGTCCTGGAGCTAGAGCTGAATGAACAGTAAAAGCAGGTTAAATCATTAACCAGTTAGGGGGACGGGGAAGCAGCTGTAAAAGGAACAGAGGAAGAAGGCCAGATTATTATTTTTGTTTCTTTTCTTTGTCGTTTCCTTTCCTCGTCTTCTCTCCTGGTGGCCGCCGCGCCGCGATCACAAGCCCTGCTTGGCCAGCGAGGCGGACACCTCGTCGGCTAGCGTGGCCAGCTGGGGGGAGTCCACCAGGTTGATGCTGCCGCTGGAGGAGACGTTGCTAAGGCGGCGCGGGGAGGCATCTCCGGAGATGGTGGGCGACTTGTAGACGATTTCGGCGCCGTGGTCGGTCTTGGCTTTGGCGTTCTCGCGGAAGGTCAGCTTGTGGGTCTCAATCTGTGAGGGAGAGGAGGGAGGTCAGGTGTGGCTATGATATTTTAATCCTCTGCTAGGATTTTTCCCCGTCCTGAGGAGCTGAGAGCCTTGGTAAAGAAATGTAAACAATAACTGTGGAATGCCACAGGTGCATCTTCCATTGGTCCATGTGGATTGTTTTCAATTAGTGACCAATCACAGCCCCCTGTGCCAAGGCTGTGCGCAGTCACAGTATTTTGTTATGCATTTCTATTCTATTCTATTCTATTCTATTCTATTCTATTCTATCCTATTCTATTCTATTCCATTCCAATTCTATCCTATCCTATTCTATTCTATTCTATTCTATTCTATTCTATTCTATTCCTATTCTATTATATTCTAATCTATTCTATTCCTATTCTATTCTATTCTTGTTCTTTATAACCTTCTAATCTTCTCTCTCTGTTCTTTTAGTATAGTTTTAATGTAGTATTTTAATATAATATATAACATCATAAATCAGCCTTCTGAGGAAAATAGAGTCAAGCCTCGTGTCCCCACACATAGAGTGTTCACCTCAACAGTCAGGGGACAGAGGGACCTGCCAGGTGTCTGCTGAGAGGGGGAGCAGAGCTCAGAGCAGTGACCCAGCGTCCCCAGTGCCCCAGCACCAGAGGGGACAGCAGGACCTGAGCATCTGGATGCTGCCAAATCCTCTCCAGGCGAGGTCCTGGGTCCCAGGAGGCAGAGGGCACAGCCTGGGCTGCTCCCACTCCCCTGGCAGAGATCATGGGGGCACACGGCACATGAAGCTTCCCCTGAGCCCACGGAGCTGCTCCCAGGAGCCAAACCCCTCTCCCGGTGAACTGGATCTGCTTTGCTACTTACAGGTGCCCTCCCCAGCCGAGTGCAAGGCTGGGGGCTGGCTCTCCGTGGGGGTGAGTGGCTCCAGCACCAGGGCCTGGAGCCCAGCGGGGTCTGGGCTCGGGGTCCAGGTCTTGTCTTCCTTGCCTTTCTCTCTCTATAGGTGAAGAAACCCACCCAGGGCAGTGGGGGGCAAAAAATGCATCAGCAACAAAAACCATGATCCAAGAAATGTCAGCCAGAAGGAAAAAGACAAAAAATATAGAAAAGAAATAGAAAACTGGGGAGAAAAAGATCTGAAAAACAGGGCCATTCACTGACTCATAGAAAGAAGAGTGGCTGCCTTTGGAGCCAGGGAGGAAAACTCCCCAGGAACAGCACAGGAGAGCACAGGGACTTGGGCAGAGCAGGGAGCACCCAGGCAGACCTGGCACAGGAACCAGAGCTCAGCCTAAAGAGCTGTGGGCTGTGAGTGCCAATGTGGATCTGTGTGCCACAGAGCAAGGAGGGGGCCTGGGACATGGAGAGGGGCAGCAGAGCTGCAGCTGGGCTCAGTTACAGCCAGAACCTCCTCCAGGCTGGGAGGCTGAGGTGGTGATGCCACCGCTGGGTCAAAGCCTTGCAGAGAAACTCCCCTGCAAAGGGCAAGTTCTTCAAACTACGGCCCAGTGAATGTGGCAGGATGTGAGAGAGCCATCACTGGAGTCACAAAACCGATGGCACAAGGCTCAGTGAAGCACAGGGGAGGCTGATGCACGGCAGAGAGAAGGGTAAGGAAGTCAAGCGGTCCCGCAGTCAGAGGCCAGCTGGAGGTGAGAGCTGGAGCTGCACAGAGAACACGTGGCCAAGAACAAAGTGCCAAAACACAGGAGCTGAAACAGAACCTTCCCCTCCCGTTGAGACAAAAGTGCTGCAAAAACAAGCAAGATAAAACCGCTGTTCCCTGGGGAAGCTGCACCCCGCGTGTCGCCGGGCTGGAGTCTCAGCTCTGTGCTTACCTGATGTCCTCACCCCCCTGGCTGCTGGGGACTTGGTGGCCTTGCAGCCCAGCTGTGGGGCTGTTTTATTTGGCCAAGCCTCACTGAAGTCACCATCAAAGCCTTGGTGGGAACAGCTCAGCCCCAGCTCACTTCCCTGACCCGAGTGCCTTTTGTCTCTCAATTTAATCCCCCACACACTCCCCTCCCTTCACAAACCCTCAGTCAGGAAGGAGAAATCACCCTCTGAAGGGCCAGTTTGCTGCAAAGTCACCTGCTCTAAAGAAAGCTGAGCCTTTAAAGCTCCACTTTCACTGGGGATCCAACACCTCTGCACTGCCCAGCTGCCAGCTCTGTGTCACAGCCTGGCACCTGCTGATGGTGACACTTCGTGGGAAGAGTTTGAGACACTAAAAACCTCAGAGGCAGTAGAAAGAGCAGGAAAACCACAGCAGAGGCTGTCATGGCTGGTGCTCACTCAGGGGGCCACAGGCCTCGAGGGACAGAGACATCCTGGCAGCAGTGCCACCTCTCTGTCCCCTGTCCCCTCAGCTCACACCCACAGCAGCACACTTCACCTTTTTATTGCCTCCTCCAGGGACGTGGCTGATGTTATCTAGGGACCCAATTTTCGACTGCACCTTATCTTTGAAGTCCAGTTTCTCAGATTTCACCTCCACCTGGCCACCACCTGCAGGAGAAAGAGTGAGAGGAGGCTCAGGAGCTGGGAACAGCACCCAGCACTGCACTGGGCTGCTCCAGCCACTGCCTCCCCTCGCCCCCCTGCCCTTGCCCAGCCCTGTGCCCCTCTCCACACCCCGTGGGGCTGGGGGTACCTGGTTTGTGGTGGATGTTGCCCAGGGAGCCACATTTGGATGTCACATGGCTCAGGTCGACTGGCTTGTAAACGATTTGCACCTGCCCGGAGGAGAGAGGAGAAGGGGATGAGCTGGGGGCCAGCGGGGGCAGCTGGGGAGGGGGAGCACAACACACAGCAGCACCTGAGCTGGACTGGAGGGAAAGGACAGCTCCAGCCCCAGGAGGATTAATGACACCAAAGAAACTGCCATCAGAAATGGGAGATCATTAATGCCCGTGTGCAGGAGCCTCTCAACATGTCAGCATGCACGAGATCACCTCTCCACAGAGGGGGGAGTAGAGGCAATTTTAAAGTGCTCAAGTGAGAGAGAAAGTGGAGTGGTGATTAATTTAAGATTTGCATACACATCATCCAAAAGGAGGAGATATACCAGAGAGAAAACGTAAAAAATAAATACCTTTTCTGGTGTAAAACATAAAGCTTATGTCCACAAAAACTGAAAGAACAGAAATGATCAATGTGCACAGAACTGTCAAAAGAGTGACCAAAATATGCATTTCTGAAAAATGCTGTAACGGAAATAAGGGTTAAAAAAAAAAACAAACAAAAAAACAAGGCAAAGCAAAATCTAAATATCTGGAGTTCACATCATAGAAATTAAAATGGCAATTATAAAGTATTGAACCACAACAGCATTTTGTGACATTTAAGCTCTGTTTTGGTGTGCTTTGCCCATGATGTCTCTGAAGGTTCCAGCAATTCCAGGGACCCCCCCCCTGTCCCCAGAGCAGGTGGGGCCGGTGGCCTCGTGGCAGGGACACCGGGGACACGGGACACACACAGGGACACCAGGGCTGCAGGGCTGGGCAGCAGCACACAGCAGGGAGGAGCCTGGCAGCAGGCACACACACGGCAGGAGCAGGAGACAAGGGGCAGGAAACATCCCCAGGAGCCCCAGGTGACCCTGGAGCCCGCTCTGGGGTCCCAGCAGCACAGGCTGTGCTGGGGCTCAGCTCTGCTGGGTTTGTGGGGCTGTGCAGGAGAAATGGCATCGCCCACACCTCCAGGCTGGCTCTGGCACAGCCTGCACCTCCCGGGGAGCATCTGCTGCTCTCTGTGGCAGCACTGCAGGGGTGATGCTCTCAGCAGCCCCAGGAGGATGTGCCAGCACCAAGGGAGCTGTGCAGAGGAGCTGAGTCCTCCCAGCAGCACCAAGGACCCACTGCAGCCTCTGCTCCCCATCTCAACACCCCAGGCTGGCCCAAAAGCCCCAGGGGAAGGTGCAACCTGCAAACCTGCAGTCCTCAGGTTGGCCCCAATGCCCCCAGAGATTGTCACAGCCCTGAGAAACAACCCTCACCCCACCCCGGAGCCAGGAACAGGAGGAACAGCCCCAGGCACAGAGCCCTGCTGACCTGCCCTGTCTCTGCTGCTCACACAGACCAAAAGGCACGTTTGACAGGAGACAGAGAGGGAGAAAAGCAACCCCCAGGGTCTGGGAGCACACCGTGGACACAGACGTGGAGACAGCGCAGGGAAAAGTCACATCTCTGATGCACTTGGGCAGGAGAGGAGCTGGACTTGGTTGGAAAGCAGGAAACAGACCCAAAAAGGGCAGCTGGTGCCTTTCTGATCCCAGCTGTGGCCCCAAAGGGTCTCTCAGCAATTCAGGCACCACTGAGACCCGAGTCCTCTGGTTTCCAGAACAAGCAGTCAGCAATTGGAACTTTCTGCTCTCATTCCCAGTCCCTTTTGTGACTCTGTCATCCCTTCCCATCCTGCTGGGGAGCAGAGGAGGATCCTCCCCATTTTAGCAAGAAAGGAAAAGGGGAACAGAGTTGTTTGCCTGGGAAAACAGTGCCAGAGACCTGGGGATCTCACCCCTCAGCATCAACAGTGCCAAGGCCAACTCCTGCCTGAGGCACCCCTGGGCAGAGCACCCACAGGCTTCAAAATCCAGGCACCAACCCCTCTGGAAGCAGGGATGGTGGGCAGAGGGTGCTGCTGCCATGGGGTTTGGGTCCCAAAGGCCACTGGAGCCCTGGGGTCTCTTGTTGCCCCCTCCCAAGGGGCCCAGCCCAGCCCCAGGACAGGCAGACCCTCTGCCCTGCCAGCTCTGCTCCCAGAGCTGCTGCAGCCAGGCAGAGCCCATGGGGTTTCCAGTGCTGGCAGGGTGAAATTCAGGTAATTCTCAAGCCAAAGCAAAGCCCACGGTGTGAGCTCTGTGGAGGAAGGCACCAGCTCATCACCAGCCACAGCACGGGGGACTTGTGGCCAGCACCAGCTCCTGGTCCACCTCACCCTGGGCAGCCCAGCAGAGCAGGAGCCCGGAGTCAGGAACAGGAGCAGCCATGGAACTGCTTCTGAGCTCTGCAGAGCAGCCCTCTGGCCTGGGAGCTCACTGCAGACTGACACCAAGCTGAAGCCAGAGGCTGCAGAGCCAGCTGTGTCCCTGTGTTCACCTGCCAAGCCTTCTGCAGGGCTCAGCTTCTCAGGGAGATCAAGGAAAACCCATGGGGAAGATGTCAGAGCATCCCACAAGCCCCAGTGGCACTGTCTGGGGTCCCAGGGATGTGCCTTCCTCAGCCCAGCATCCTTCCTGGACCCAAACTGCCTCCAGCTGTAAATCCACCAAGCTCTGTGGAGCTTCTCCAGGTTTCTGGCACAGTAACTGAAGGCTGAGTCTGGTATTTGTGTGGGAACAGCTGGAAATGCCAGTGTTCAAATCAATTAGCTCAACCATACTTCAGGCTCAGCCCCCGTGGGCGCTGCTGGACACATTCATTAGCAAGGAGAAACTTAATATTTGCATGGATCATACTTGCCTGATGGGAATGGGCACGTTCACATGTTGGGCAGGATCATGTCCAATTTAGCAGCACATTGAGCAATGAGGACTGGGTCTGCTCATGAACCTACCCATCTCCTGCATCACCCTGTGCCAGGGGCCCCATCCCACAGCCCAGGAGGCTTTCAGCCTCCCAGGCAGTGTCCAGGAGTGGAGTTACTGGGAGGTTTGGTTACAGACGTGGTTTGGACACGGGGCAGTTAGTTCTGTCCATGGCTGGCATGGCCAGGACTTGTTAGGGATCATTTTTGGGTGAAGGGGGTTAAATGACAGCACGTCCCCAATGGCTATGTGACAGCAGCGTGGCTGCAGATAGCATTGGTGATTAGTGTAACAACATGCCACTAAAATCAGGGTTATTACAGTGCATTCAAAGTGTGAAGGTACTCACACTGCCTCCGCCCGGGATGTGTTTGATATTATCCTTTGAGCCACACCTGGATTGAACGCTGCTAAAGTCCAGCTTCTTATTAATTATCTGCACCTTTGGTAGCCAGAAAAGAGCGTGAGAAACAACATGACCATCTGCAGCTTGACCATGTGGTACAGCCCTAAAAGCAGGAGCCTGCCTTCCAGTGCCAGCAGGGAAAAGGAAAATCTCTGCCTTGCTGCACAGATTTGTCTGTTCCTGGGCTGGAAAGGGAAGGTGGAGCTGGGCAGGTTATAGCTGGGGACTGGAGAGGCCTGGGGAGTGCTGCAGCCCTGGGTCCCAGGACACAGACACCAGCCAAAAAGCCAGCTCAGCCTGGATCCTTCCACGGGAGAGAACAGGGATCCCACTGGGAGGCAGGGCTGAGGCTCCACCAGGGCTCAGAGACCCCACCAGGGCTCAGAAACTCAGCTCCTGCAGAGCCAGAGGAATGAGGAGGGATGGAGCTGAGAGAAAAATGCCTGCCCAGCTCCAGCTCCCTGCCAGTCCCCTCCTGGGCCAGGCACACCTTGGGCAAACAGGAGCCACTGGCCAGGCTGGGCAGCAGGAGCTGTGTCCAGAGCTGGGAGAGGACACCCAGCTCTGCTCTGCACAGGGCTCACACTCCCTGCACAGCTGCCAAGAGAAAGAGAACACTGCCAGGGATGCAGCCCAGTGCCAGGGATGCAGCACCACCCCAGAGATGCAGCACCACCCCAGGGATGCAGCTCAATCCCAGGGATGCAGCCCAATCCCAAGGATGCAGCCCAATCCCAAGGATGCAGCTCAATCCCAGGGATGCAGCTCAATCCCAGAGATGCAGCACCACCCCAGAGATGCAGCCCAATCCCAGGGATGCAGCCCAGTGCCAGGGATGCAGCACCACCCCAGAGATGCAGCACCACCCCAGGGATGCAGCCCAATCCCAGGGATGCAGCCCAATCCCAAGGATGCAGCCCAATCCCAGGGATGCAGCCCAATCCCAGGGATGCAGCCCAATCCCAAGGATGCAGCCCAATCCCAAGGATGCAGCTCAATCCCAGGGATGCAGCTCAATCCCAGAGATGCAGCACCACCCCAGAGATGCAGCCCAATCCCAGGGATGCAGCCCAGTGCCAGGGATGCAGCCCAATGCCAGGGATGCAGCTCAATCCCAGGAATGCAGCCCAATCCCAGGGATGCAGCACCACCCCAGAGATGCAGCCCCACCCCAGCACTGTGGCACATTCCTGTGGAGCCCCTGGTGGGTGGGAGTGGGGCTGGGAAGGGCTGGGGCCACACGGGAGCCACTGCCAGCCACAGCCTGCAGCCCCAAAGCCCTCCCTGCACGCTGACCTCTGCTCACAAAGCTGGCCCCACTCAGGGCTGTTTCCCCCTGGCTGTGGAGGGAGCTGCCCTGGAGCCACCTCGGGCACCCGAGCAGCTCTTCCAGACAGCCCCAGGGTGAAGACAACCCCTGCTCCTTCCCCACACACCCTGGAGTGGCTTCACAACCCCCACAGTGTCAGTGCAGGTGGCAGCCACAGGTCTGAGCCTGTGACAGGGACCACGAGAGCCCCCAGCAGTGCCACCTCCCCGGGCACAGACACTCCTGGTGGCACCATCCCGAGCTGAGTGCTCCATGCCAGCCCCCCAGCCCCAGCCTGCTGTGCCAGGAGAGCTCCCTGCAGCGCCCTGGCTCTGCAGCACCACGGCTGGCTGTGCCTCCAGCGGGATTTTCCGAGCTGACACCAAGCAACCCCACAAACCAGGACCCAGCTGAGCCATGCCAGGCCGTGCCAGAGCAGCCCTGGGTGCTGCAGCCACAGCAGAAGTGCTCAGGCCATGCAGGAGCACAGGCAGAGCCCTGGCCTGGCTGCTCCTGGCGTGTGCCCCGTGCTCCCTGGCTTGCCCAGGCTGGGGGGCTGCAATCTGCACGGAGAGCAGGCTCCAAACCCATTTCTGAGCAGCCTAAAATCAATGTCTGGGATCAGCCCCTTCTGCTCCAGCTGCAGCCGTTCTGCTGGGAGCAGAATCCCCAGCAGAGCATCCAGCCATCCTCCCCTGCAAAGAGCAAGGAACTGTCCCAAATTCAGCTGCTCTTACTCTTGCAGCAACAACAACAAACAGAGAAGCAGAGAGGGGGAAAAAACAACTTGTAAAAGCTGGATTTAAAAAAAAAAACAAACCAAACAACCAAGCAAATAATTTAACTATTTTCCAGTAAACAAGGGTTCCTTCTAAAGTCCCTGGAGAACAGGGTTTGTGGGGGTGGGAAGAAAAACCCATGTCTTGTGCTAAGTGGGCAGGAGCCCCCCAAAAAAGGACACTCATGTGCTGCTGTCTCATGACCAAGAGCCCTGCCCAGGCTCCAGAGCCCCCCTGGATGGTGGCACAAAGCCAGTGAATCGCCAGCCACGGTGCAAAATGCCTGGAAAGGCCGTGGAGAAGCAGGCTGCCATTGCACAGGAGGCAGAGGAGCCAGCTCAAAGCCTCCCCCCACGCCAAAGGGGGACATTCAGAGCCACCGAGGTACCTGCTCACACAAAATGCCATGCACAGCACTCAGGGAACGTTTGTTACGGCTCTGCAGGGTCTGCAGCCAGGCAGTGCCACCCCAGGACAGGCAGTGCCACCCCCAGGACAGGCAGTGTCCCCTGCCAGGCTTGCAGAGTTTAACCCAAGACCTTCGTTCCCAAGCACTTGGAGCCCAGAGGTCACTTTGCTGGTGAAAGAACTTTTCTGGGAGGGCAAAGTGTCTGAAAGGACAGAAGTGCCACCAGTCCTGGCCGTGCCACCCCGCACTGTGCAGCCAGACAGCACAACACAACCCAAAACCTCGCCAACAGAGCTGGATCCAAAATCCCAATGTCTGGAAAATGTGGGGTCTGAGCCTGAGACCCTCAGAAGGAGCAGAGAGACCTTCCTGTCCTCTGCTGGAAGGACTGCTCCAGGCACGGGGAGCAGAAACACTGCCCTGCCCCTGCCACCCGTCAGGGCTGCAGCTCACAACCTGCCTGGGCACCTCCAGGGAGTGCCAATCCCAAGAGAGACCTTCCTGTCCTCTCCTGCAGGCTGGAAGGACTGCTCCAGGAACAGGGTGGCATTCAGAAACACAGCCCTGCCCCTGCCACCCCTCAGGGCTGCAGCTCACAACCTGCCTGGGCACCTCCAGGGAGTGCCAATCCCCCAGGAGACCTCACCAGGAGCTCTCTGTGAGACAGCTGAGCCAGGCCAGGAATTCCAAGGCAAGCATCCAAGGCAGAACCTCGCGGGTGAGCAGAGCCAGGCTGGCGCCCCGGGCGCTGCCCTGCTGCTGCTGCAGGGAGCCCCTGGCAGCCCCGGGCACAGGGCAGGACGCAGAGCCCGCGTTGTTTACCTTGCCACCCCCGGGCTGGTGCTTCAGGTTGTCGGTGGAGCCGATTTTGGACTTGACGTTCTTGAGGTCGGGCATGGGCGCGGCCGCCGGCTGCACGCGGGTCTTGGCGGAGGCGGGAGATTTCGGGGGGGTGCGAACCACTGCCACCTTCTTGGGCTCCCTGGCTGGTGGGGTGGGCAGAGAGGGGGTGCGGGAGCGGCTGCCCGGGGTCCCGGGGGAGCCGGGGCTGCTGTAACCGCTTCTGTCTCCGGACTTGGGCTGCTCACCTGCAGTTTGCACACAGGAGAGCCCCCCGGTCAGCAGCACCCCCCTGCTGCCCCTGGGGGCTGCTCTGCCTCGTCCCAGAGCCCACCCGACAGCCCAGGGCAGGGGGAGGGCGGTGGCTGCACTTTCTTCTACTCCGTTTTGAAGGAAAAACTGTGATTTAAAGGCAATTTCCTAACATCCCAGAAGGAAGATGGTCTCCACTGGCTGGATGGTCAGTAAGACTCCCCACCCGAGCGTGGCACGATGAGTTACAGACAAAAGACACTCAGAACCACTTTTCTATTAGAAATTTGGAAGCGCTTTCGCAAAATTATTTCCTGTAATTAACTAAGGCTGATCGCTGAGCAGCTTAGCACTGTCCCCACTTTGAAAAGGAAATGAAAGAAGAAAAGAAGACCCTTAAACATCACCTTTCTCAGTCTTTGCTGCTGCAGGAGGTGGCTTTTTCTGCTCCTTTCTGCCTGTTTAGTGAATGAGAAAGATGCTTAAACATAATAAAGCTGGAAAATTAATTGATTTAAGGTTTTATGCAGCTCTGGTTAAGTATGAAATATATGTATACATCCAGTGAAATGCACCATTTTAATGGAAATTCACAATGCCTGATGCTTTCTGGGCTTTTCTTCTCTGAGCATAATGGGCTAATCTCCATTCCTGCAATCGAAGAATTGATCCTCTTGCCCCTGCTCTTTGTGAATATCACCAGAGAGAAAACGAGCAGATGGATTAAAAAAAAACGGAGCTGCCTAAATCTTCCAAATTTGAGGAAATCCCTCAGGATAAAGCAACTGGCCTCTGCTACACACGGGAGACTGCAGGGACACAGGCACTGAGCAGCACCTGGAGGGGCTGGACCCAGAGGGAACGGGTGCCAGGACAGGGCTGGGTTTGGTCATCACCCCCTGGCACTGCCCAGCAGCACCACCCAGGCACCAGCACACGCTGCCACCGTCACCTACCAGAGCCGGGAGGGGTCTTGGGGGCCGTGGGGGTCTTGGCAGGGATGCGGGTGGCGTTGCTGGAGTTCCTCTGCGCCTGCCCCGCGCGCGCCGCGCCCGTCTTGGAGCCACCCCTCGCCTCCGGGCCCTGGGGACACACAGGGACGTCAGGGACAGGCTGTCACCCCTCACAGCAGGGTGAGGGACAGGCTGTCACCCCTGCTCAGAGCCAGGGACAGGCTGGCACCCTCACTCATTCAGGGACAGGCTGGCACCCTCACTCAGAGCAGTAAGACTCTCCCACTTTTCCCTGGAATTCCCCACACCTGGAATGTGCCTGTTCACACCTCGTGTCCCACAGGGCACAGGAAAGGCTGTGACCTTTCCCAGGTGAGTCCTTGGCCTCAGCCACGCCGTGCTCTGCACTCTCACACCTGGCTCTGCCACACCTCAGCTCTCTAAATTTCATCCTCTGGCTTCCCCTGTTCTGCCAAAATTTTGTACAGAAGATAAATTCTGTATTTATGTATGTCATGTAATGTAAGTATGTAAAAATACAAGGTCAGTGACTGGCATAGAGAAGGATCCCTGGCAGTGCCCAAGGCCAGGCTGGATGGGCTTGGAGCAGCCTGAGACAGTGAGACGTGACCCTGCCATGGCAGGGGTGGCACTGGATGGGCTTTAAGCTCATTTCCGACCCAAACCATGCCAGGATTTTGTGCTTCCGTGTGCCCTGCACCCCCTGTGCCTCCCCTCACCGTGGGTGTGTTTGTGTCTGAGTGCCACCAAGGGTGAAAGCCCTGAGGCTCTGCTCACCCTGCAGGGTGAGCCAGGGCTGTGCTGCAGCACCTGCAGCCCTGGCACGGCTCAAACCCACCCTGAGACACACACAGAGCTGCCAAAGGAGCACGGGCACGAGGGGCCTGGCTGGGGGCACGGGGGCACACCTGCAGCAAGGAGCCCTTTGTGCCCCCAGAACCGAGCCTGGCTTCACCAGGGCAGGGAGCCCACTCCCCTCTCCAGGGCCAGGGGTGCCAGGAACGCCTCCAGCTCTGCCCTGGCCTCTCTCCCAGCCCAGCCCCTTACCTTGGCTTTATTTTCCTGCACTCCTGAGCTGGCAGGGCGGGGGGTGGCAGGACAGGCTCCTTTGGAGGCACTGGCAGGGCTGCAGGGGGCTGCGTGCCCCAGGGGGGGCACGGAGCCAGGGGGCTTGGCAGGGCAAGGTGAGGGTTTCTGGGACGTGGAAATGAAATAAGATGGGAACAAAAACAAAAGGAAATCAGCATGGGAGGGAAACAAAATGGGATCAGTGACATTAAATAGGATTGGAAGGTGCAATACAGGGTGTGGGGTAGGGACTGCCAGGGCTGTGCGTAGAGAAATAACCAATTTCAGTGTTAGAAAATAATTCTATTCCTTATTTTTAACTCTTCACCCACTGCATTTCCCCTCAGCTTGTCCATTAACCCACTCAGGCACTAACCAGGAGAATGGCCAGCTGAGCTAAACCTCCTCCAAACTGCCAGAGTGACAGATATTGTTTAGCTGCTGGGATTTACCCACTATTAAACTCTGTTCCTCACCCACAACACAACCCAGCATCTTTTTTGGGGGGTGTCCTGTGCAAGCCAGGAGCTGGATTTGATGATTCTTGTGGATCCCTTCCAACTCAGGATATTCTACGATCTGCAAGGCCTAGATTATTTAATTTAATGTTTTAATTACATGTTTTGCTCTTTCCCCAGTGCAGTTTTGAGTCTGCCCCAAGGTCAGCTGTTGATTTTTAGTCCTAGGCTGATAAAATGCTTTCTCCAACCTCCCACCCAACCCCATGAGCCACGTGCTTCATTTAGATTTGGACCATTTCCTCACCCTCAAAGAACCCATGGATTGCACCATCCAAACCCAGGGGAGGGAAAAAAAATAAAAACACTCTTGAAAACAAATGGAAAAATGGAACATAATGGGAAGAGGTACAACAGCAGGGCAGGAGAGGAGCCAGGAACATGGACAGGTGTCACCCCTGGTGTTGCTTTTTAGCTTACCTTGGGTTTCTTTTCATCAGCTTCAGTCCCTTCCTTGTCAACACGACCTGGCAGATGGAAACACACAGTTACACCTCTGGGGCCTGGTCATACAGCCCAGAGATGACAACACACTGCTGGGGTGTTCCCTGCCCCTGCTCTCCCTTCAGCTCAGTACTGCTCTCAGAAATGTGACAGAGTCAGCACTTCTTGCAGAAATCTTCCACCACTCCACAAACACATTCCTTCTGTGCCAGCAGATGATCCTGTGCTAGTCAGCACTGGGAGCAGACACACCAGGGAGGTTTGTGAGGGAGCATTTCGCCCAGATTTCCACCCAGCTCCTGCAGGATCCATCCAGCTCAGCACAGAAAGTTCCCTCCAGCCCTGCACAGGAGTCTCTGAAACACCCACTTGTTCTGACAATGATAAAAATAGAGACCCAGGCTGAAGGCAGCCCCAGCCCAGCAGCACTGTGATCTCATTTAGGGGCTTCTTCAGTTGGTGTTGCAGAGCACTTTTATCCCTGGCTGCTGTTAATTCCCTTCTCTCCTGACAGGCTGCTCTCTGCCTCCCAGCACAGTGCCCCTTCCACCTGGCTCACTCTAATTAGGAGATTAGAAATGGGGAGGAGATAAAGTTTGTACTCCAAGGCACTCATAACAAAGCCCTTTTCCCCCCATCTTCAACTAATTGGGAGGAGAAGCTGCTGATATTCCCCCAGTGCTAGGAAACTTGTCCTGGGGGATCAGCCCTTTCCTGGTGACATGGACAGTGCTGTTAACCCAGCCCTGACCCCTCCCAAATTCAGCTGAACTGCACATGGAGCAAGGCTGGAGCCAAGCAGCCACCAAGCATCTCTGTCTTTGAAGGGAAATACCATGAAAAAATTCATTTTCTATAGAATCAGAAGCTGGCTGGCCCTGGGCAGTGCCTCCCCACCCTGCTGGGGTTCCAGGCTCCAGTGCAAGCCATGCCAGTGCCCTGCAGCACACGAGTGAAGCTCCCCACTGCTGATCCCACAGGGAACAACCAGAAATATGTTATGAGCTTTGGCCCCGGTGGAAAAAGCTCCATCAACAATTTCTGTGTGAGCCCCACAGCAAAGGCACAAGCCCAGCAGCATTCCCAGGCCCATGGGAGCAGCCAGGACAGCCCTTGGAGTGTGGAGCTGGGGGAAAAGGCAGAGCTTCCCCCAGGACGTGCCCTGGAGAGCCAGGGCTGAGGTACAACACGTGTCCTGCTGCCCTGGCTCCTTAGCACAGCTCACAGCACCACAGCTGGGCCCCTGGGACACTCCTGAGAGGTGGAAAACACAAAGGAAAGGTCTAAGGGATGCTGGAGCACTCAGTGGTGAACTCAAAGCTTTACCCAGGGCTGCCCTGCCAGCCCCACACACTGTTGAGATGCCTCCAGACAGGCAGCTCCTGCTGAGCCCCCAGAGCCAGCTCTGTGCTGGCACACCCAGGGACACCCCATCAGAGCTGGGGTGGCAGCAGGATGCTTTGGAAGAGCAGTGGACATGCCTGGCAGTGGGGAAAGGTCCTGCTGGCTGCAGGCTGTGCCTCCAGCAGCAGTCAGTAGCAGATATTTGAGGGGAAAATACAAGAAACAGGATCAGCGTGGGGGCTTTTCCATGGTTAGACCAGCCATCCTTGCCTTTTTCCTCCTCCCTCCTCTTTAGGAAAGCCAATTCCAAGAGTTATTTGGAGCAGGCATGCAAACCAGTGGCACCAGTGTCCTGCTGGAACAAGCTGCACACGCCAGGTGAGCCCCACTCCACCATGCCAGAGCTCCTCATCTTCTCAGGGAAGGTGCCAGCTGGGAGTTCAGGCGCTCACCCAGCAGATCCAAGGAAATCAAAACAAAAACAGGTGAAAAAAAGCATGATTAGGGACACGCCAGCACCATGCAAGGCACGCAGGACGGCAGCACAGGGGTCTGTCAATCCAGGCCAGGATTGAGAAAAGAGGGAAGGGCAGGGAGGGAGCAGCAGAGCCCTGGATCAGTCCCAGCACGGTCCAGGCCCTCTCCAAGCAGCAGGAGGAGCCGAGGTGGCAGCAAGCTGCAGTGTGGATCAGGCAGCACACACCTTTGAGCAGGGGGACACGAGTGGCCTTGTCTGCAGCCGGCCCGCCCGGCTTCCTCCTGGGCCGGCGCGCCCCTGCGGCCAGCACAGCCTCTCCCACAGCAGCACCTTCATCCTTCACATCATCCTCTGCCTCGGCAGGGGGCTTGGCTGTCCCTAGCACGGGCTCAGAATCTTCTCCCTGCCCAGGCCCAGCCTGTTTTTGGGAGACACTTGCAGAAGGCTCTGACGGGGGGGTGTCTGGGCCTCCTTCTCTGCCCAGCAGCTCTCGCTTCTCCTCTTGGTCCTCTCCTGCTTTATGTGACTCAGCTTCCACCAGCAGCGCCTCTCCTGGGGTGTCTCTGAGGACAGCTTTGGACTTGTTTTCTCCATCATATTCTTCACGAGTCTCCTGGGCAGCTGCTGGACACGAGCCCTTCTCAGGCCCCAGAGCAGCACGCTGATCCACGAGGGAAGGCAAGCCCTGCCCAGGGCTTTCATCAACACCCCGCTCCTCATCCCTGGAACCTTCTTTGACCGTGGCTCTGGCACACAGGGGAGATGATGGTCCATCTTTGTGGTCAGCCGTGCCTCCTGCTGCTGCCAGGCCCAGCTGTGGCTCTGCACTGCTGCCTTCTGTGCCTGCCTGGTGCCACGGCTCGCTGCTGCCTCCGGAGCCTTGGTACATCTCCAGGGGGATTGGGATGGTGACCTCGATCCTGGTGGCAGCTGCTGCTGGAGCCTTGCTTTCACGGGACAGAGGTGGCTGCTGAGGCCCCAGCCCCTGCTCTGGGGGCTGGCTGGAACTTTTTCCTGCCTCCTGAGGGCCAGGCTGGAGCTTCGGAGAGCTCGGCTCGCCTGGAGTTGAAGTCGTGGGGTGTGAAGCATGGGCAAGAAATTAGCACAGGCATGTCAAACATCACGTAAAGTGAGAGATTCAGCATTTCTACTGGCAATCCAGAGATAAAAGCAGTCCCACCCCGCCCCACTGAACAGACAGCTGGCTCCTGCAGTGGCTTTTGCCTTTAGAGAACTCTGATCCCCATGGGAATCAGGAACAGCTCCTGGCTCGGATGTGGCCAGGTTCACCCTGCCCTCCTTGAGCTGGTTTAGCTGTAGACGTTTCCAGAAGCCAGGAACATTCCCATTTTCCCTACCAGCACCACTGCACCATCAGTTTGCTGGGCAGTGCCCACCTCTCCTTGCCCCAAGGCCAGAGCCCTGTCCTCCTTCCTGACTTCACAGAAGCCCTGCTGCCCTTCCCTCCCCTCAGGCACACACAGCACTGGCTTCAGAGCTCAAACCACCTCTGCCCTGCCCTTGGATCATTCCCAGTGCCCAGGAGCTGGGGAAGGGCACTCCCATGCCATGCCAGAGCAGGGAAAGGACTGGGGAGAAGAACTGTAGCAGTTTGGGACTGTGCACCCCTGAGAGCTCCCGGGCTGCTGCTCTGCCTCACCTGGGCTGAGGGACATTTGAACCCCAGAACCTGAGGCCACAGACACAAGATTTATCTGTTTCTCTTTTCTTTTTTGGTGGGTGTGTGTGAAAGAGGGGATTCTGCTCTGTCACTGCTCTGTGCATGACACAGATCTTTACAATTCCACCCAACAACTGCTGCATGAAGCCAGGTCTTCCAACTGAGCTGGAGCTTTTCTCTTGGAAAACCCTTCAGGAAAACCCTCTCCCTGAAGGAAAGATGCCCTGAGCAATGGAGAATTCACCTGGGTACCTTGCTCTGGAGACAACCAGCCCAAAAAGAATGTGCCTCTAGTGTTATGAGCTGGTTCAGCTTCAAGGACTCTTTGGTCTCTCTGAGCACTGACCAGGTAAAGAGCCCAAATCAGAGCCCTGAGATCACAACTGTGGCTTTGGCAGATTAACAAACGAGACTAAAATGAGAAAAGATGAAGTCAAGACCGACTTGGCCTTTCATCAGTGTCCTCCCCATTTTAAGAGAATATCACAGTTAAATGAAACAACCACACAAAGACCTTGTATGTGACAGCTGGAAGATCCCAGGACAAGGCAGAAAGGGCTTAGTAAAAACCTGATGAGAAACACTAAAACCAGGGCAGAGAGAAGAGAGAACTTAACCCCCTCCACTAACAATCCTGATTTCTTTTTTATAAAGGAGCCACTATTTCATGTTTAGAAGAGATGACAGTCCAAAATCCACTGGCCAGGCAAGTACAGGTTTTATTCTAATTGCAGGGAGCAGAGTGCACAGAATTGTGCTCATCTGTGTGTGGAAAGCAACAACAACCTGAATTCTGCCCTGAGCTGAGAAGGCAAAACCTATTTACTTCTGCAAAAGACATGGATGTCTAAATGCACTAATGGAGCCGTGGAGAGGAAAGACACTGCTCAGCTGGAGGGAGTTGTTATGTTTACTGCACATTCATAAAATGGCTTTTGACCAAGATTTTAAGCAGCACACTGAATTAGTGCTGTGGTGTGCAGTGCAGGCAGGACAGAAACACCACAGGGAGTCTCAACCCCAGCACTGGGGGCTTTGGGAAAACCAATTTTCCATCAAGTCTGAACTGAGGAGAGTCAAGAGAAACTTTGCAAGTAGCCACATGGTCCCTGGATAATTTTCAGCCCATCTAAGCAGACAGATAATGAATGCTGTGAGAACACTCACTGCCCACTGTGTCTGCCCTCCTCACTCACACTCCCCAAGACTGGGATGAGGAGAAAAATCCCTTCATGTTGAAGTCAGGGTCCGAGTGAGTAGGTTTGAGTCCTGTTTTACTTTAGAAAATCACAGTAACTGAACAATTTGCTGGTTTCATGTGTGAGCACAGGGCCTGCACTGCCTCTGCTCACTCTGAGCAGTTCCTCTGGCCCCAGCACATCCCAGCTCTGTCCATCAGCTTTTCCAGCCTGGAGAACACCCTGGTTTTGCAGCTGGACAAACAAGCACCGTGACTTTGACCATCTGAGAGGGAAATCTGGTGTATGAGGAGCTGCAACTCCCTGAAATGAGCATGTTGGAACATCCCAAAGGTGTATGGCCCTCCTCTGCCAGGAACAGGGAGAGCTGCACAACTGCTGAGCAGGGCAGAGCATTTCCTCACAGAACTAAATTCCCAAGCCACCACCAGCCAGCTGCACACGTGGGCAGCAGTGACTGGTCCCAGTGACAGACAAATCACCCACCTTGAGTGGCATCTCCTGCAGCGTGGTCCTCCAGGTTGGGAGTGGCTCCTACGCCCGCCTCTTCAGCTGCTCCCGGAGAAAGAAGGGGAAAAAACATGATCAAAATAAGAGTTAAGTTTGAGCATGTGCCTGGAGAATGAATGTGCCTCCCTGCTGAGGCTGCCCAGCAGAATGAGCAGGATCTCTGCTGTGTCACAGCAGGGCAGCATCAGAAAGGAAATCTCCCCACAGCGATGATGGGTCTGGGGAGATCTGTTCAGCAGCGCTCTGCAGGCCAGAGCAGTGTTTCCCCAGCTTCCACATCCTAAATGGCAGGTTAGCACAAGCTCTTCCAGGCAGAAAACAGGCTGTTGAGGAGCAAGGAAACTTGTGGATGTGTATCCTCTTCTATCCCCACCTGGCCTTTACACGGCCAGAGCACTCCCATGAATGTCTCTTACCTGAGCTCTTCTTGGTGTCTGTGACCAGCCTGTGAACCCTGCCAAGGCTGTGTGAGACCAGTAATTCCAAGCCTGATACAAATCTAGAGAAATCCTGAGCTTCAGGACTACTGGTACATCAGAGAAGCATGGTTTTCTTCACAGTGATGATGGTTTGTCTCCACCAGCATTTTTTTCAGTTTATTCTTTGACTACTTTCAAACTAGCTTAAACAATTATATTGGTATGCCACAGTTCTCCAGCCAAACTAAGACTTCTTCTGTTTCCCCGTTATTTTCCAAGCAGTTGAGGATACACTGGCTCCCTGGGACAGTCAGATCTTACACCAGAGCCCCCTTGTTTCAGCCCAGGGCTCCACCAGCAGCTCAGGGACTGGATGCAGCACAGAAATGTCACTGCTGTGAGTTTGTTTCAGTGCTTGGCACTGGCAGAATCCCTCTTCTACCTGCTGCTTTCCTCAGGTCCTGCCTGATGCTTCCAGGGAAAGCCACTGGCTCTGGCACAGGGGACACGTCCTCGTTTTTCACACACAGACCTGCCCTCCCAGATCCTGCTCTCCCACACACAGCACTGCCACAGTCACTCCCTGCTCTGCCTCTGGAAGGCCCCATCCTTCCCTGCAAAACCAGGCCCAGGTGCAGGGACTGCCCACAGGGCATTCAGGCTGAATTAGTCACTTCACTCCCTCTGCATTATCCTGAAAAGCACTGCTGCAGTGGCCTGGTTTTCACCTGCCACTCCAAAGAGCCCAAGTGCTGCAGGACGGGCACCCAGGGGCTGCTGGCACGGGAACAACCTGGACCTGCAGGTAGGAGCCTGGAGGTGGGAGCCAAAGCCACCACAGAGACACCAGACAGAAGGATTGTCAGATGTGGAGCAGAGAAAGAGAGAAGAAAAGGCTGCGAGTTCCCCCCAGGATGGGGAAGGAAGAGGAGAGCTCCAAGTGAGGAATTTTCTGGAGAAGAAGGAAGCAGCACTGGGAGCAGTGTCCCTGTGAGAGGTTTTGTGGTGTTGTCCCACAGCACCGACCAGTCCAGCTCTCTGCTCTGTCTGCAGCAAGAGATGAAGCTGCACCTTGGTCTCCCTCACCTGTGGTTCCTTCTGGGATCTCCCCGTGCTGTTCCACACCACCCTGATCCTCGTGGTCTCCTTCCTCCACTAAAGGTGCTGTGGCATCTGAAAAACAACACAGCTTTCACACAGCTGCTGAGAGGCAAAGCCCTCTGGAGGCCAGGATGTGCCTGAAGAACTTTGTGCTCAGAGGAGCACCCAGCTCCCTCCTCGAGCCAGTGGAGCTGGTGGGGGGAACAGCTAAGCATGACAAGGCAGAGCCACAGGGACACCACGAGCTGCCCCTGCCACACAGCGTGCCACAACGTGCTCCCTACACTTCTGACAGCTTTGCCTTTTTGTCCAAAAATCCACCACTACAAGCAGCCCCTGGTGCACAGAAATCCTGCACGGAGACACGGCTGGTGTGGAGCAGGACAGAGCAGCTCCCCTGGACCTGCACAGAACACCCCAGTGTGGCTGCATTGTGCTCTGGGGACACAGGGACACCCACTCCACCTGCCACAGGGGTGGCTGCTCGTCCTGGCAGTCCCACTCCAGGTGGGGAGCAGGGTAACATCCCCTCCTGCACCAGATGGGTTTTGTGTCCTGATTTCTTGAGGCACTTTCCCAATCACTCAGCCCATGCTCAGCAGGACAGGGCTGGGACTGCTCAGCACCTCTGCCCAGCCTTCCTGCCTTTCAGAACAATCTTGCAAGCTAAAGCCTCTACCTCAAGTCTCCAAAGGCAGATTCTTGGGATTAAAGCAGCAAAAAGTGAAGGTAATTACAACAGTGAACAAGTGTCCAGACCACTCTGGAATCAGTCTTTCTACCCACAAGGCATTCAGGACCTGGGGAGCACAGTGACACAAAGCTGTGTCACTCAACCCAGGACTGCTCCCAGCTGCACTGCCAGGACCTTGCAGAGCCCCTGCAAAGTCTGCAGGAAACAAACCACAACTTCCTGAGCTGCAACGAACAATTCACCTTTCTTGCTCTGCAGCCCACTCTGCACCTTTAAAGCTCATGATCTCCTTCTGCAGCACAGCAAACACCACTGGTGATGAGACTAACAAAGGGGTTTCTCCTCCTGAGAAGCCCACCAGAAATGTCACTGCTGTGAGTTTGTTTCAGTGCTTGGCACTGGCAGAATCCCTTTTCTACCCGCTGCTTTTCTCAGGTCCTGCCTGATGCTTCCAGGCAAAGCCACCAGGACACGGCATGGGGATGAGGTTTACCACGACCCCATCCATCATGGTTCCAAAGCAGAAAGTCAAAGAGCTCCCACCTTCCGTAGTTGGGGTGCTCTTAGCGTCAGATGTTTCAGAAACAGGCTCATCCGATCCATCATCGACTGGAATCTGAAGGGGATAGCCTGGAAAACATTCAAATACTTACAACAAGTCCTTGGCTATGAGCTGGGGCTTACCAACTCTGATTGCCCAGATCCACAGCTGCAAGAAGCTGCAGCTGGAGAGTAAAAACCGCCTGAGCTAAAAGCAAGCAAAGCGTGAAAATGCCAACCAAAAGCACCGGGGTGACCACCAAAAGGAATGAACAGAAACCCACCAGCAAAAGAAAAGCCCAGTGAACTGGACAGGCAGAAACAGCAAAGCATGGCACAAGCAGGCAAGGAGATCTCAGCAACGTAAGGAGGAAAGATGTGCAGCTTCTGAGCCACTGTTGTCCTCTCCCTCCCAGAGCAGGCTGAGCACTCCCAGGACTGCAAACCAGCCCAAGTGTGTGACAGGGCTGGTGCAGGACCACGTTCTGTGCCAAGAAAAGGTGGCAAAAGTCTTCTGGAAGAGCAGGGCAAGAGGCACAAGTCTCCCCCCTCAGCAAGGGTGCGGGCAAATCAAATAATGAGAGCTGGAAAAAGTGATTTGGAAAAGAAGAAGGGAAATCCCTGGGACCTGTGATGTATGAAGCAAGCTGAGAGGAGCTGCCGGACCGCAGCAGAGCCAGCATGGATGGAGGCTGTGGATTCTCTCCAGGACAGAGGCCATCCATTTATCTGGTCAAAGAGGTGTCAAAGCACCTCAAGAAAAGGAAATTAAGATGATGTTTGCATGGAGCATAGCCAGGAGTGAGTCCCACCAGGTTTGCTGGCAGTGCGGGTTTCCAAGCTCAGCTGTGGAGCACGGTGGAATGAGAAAGGAAAAGCTTCTGAAGAAATGCAGGTCTGAAATATGGTGAGGAAGACTCTAGCATGGCCCCCACTCCCAGAGCTCTCTGTTCAGCTGTCCCCAGGTCCCTGTGCAGGTGAGGAAAGCAGGCAGCAAGCAGCATCCTCGAGCTGTGACCCCAAATTAAAACAGTGCTGTGTTTCCTTAGCAAACTGAGGAGTGAACACAAACACACTTGCAAAGCTGCAGCAGTGGGATCATCCCTAGCCTGGATAGCAGGGGTTGTTCTGCTCAGTGGACACTGAGACCCACAAGCAGCATTTTGCTATGACTGTGCATGTTGGAGCATCCTGAGGGCTGCCCGTGGTGCCCTGGCAGCAGCCAGCTGACCCACAGCGTCCTTCCAGGCCCTCTGCAGCACCATGCCCTTCTTCCTCTCCCTCCTTAGCTCAGCACGGGCCCAGGCAGGTCCTTCACCACCTCCTGGACGTGCTCACCTGATGAGAAGTGTTTTTCCTGGCCAGGCGCGTGATCCTCCATCATGGTGGTGTCCTGAGGCTGCTCTGCCACCTCTCAGCAAAGGTACCTGAAAAGGAGAGTAAAAACTAACACCCATTAGGCAAAACCTGGCACGACAGGAGCAAAGGGAAGGCCTGGCCATTCCTGCACAAACAAAAGCATGTGACAGGCACTGCATCCCCACAACAAACACAGAGGCAACTCCTGCCAGCTGCATTCAAGTTCCATGGGTATTTAGGATGTGCCAAGCAAAATGCCCACCCTAGTGCAGCCAGGACACTGCCCTGGCACAGCTTTGCCCCAGGAGGTCCCTGAGAGCAGCAGGCTGAGTGCTGACTGACTCCTGGCTCCCAGTTTAAGAGGTGAATTTGCTGGTGAGGTGTGATGCTGCTGTGGGAAGGGATCCTTCCATCCCTGGGGATTCACCCAGCAGGGATACACAGCTACAAGACACTCAGCATCTTAAAAACCATCCAAAAGTGACACATGGGGGGACAGCAGGAGTACCCAGAGATGGATTTGGGGCTCTTAGAGGAGAGGGTCTCGCTCAGCTGTGGCTGTGAGGGGACACACAGTCCCTGCTTTAACCCCAAACCCTTCCTGCAGAGCTCAGAGCACCCCACACTGCACAGAGCAAAGCAGCAGCTCTGGGTGGAGGCAGGAAAACCTCCCAGCCCTTTTTCTGAACTGCATTGATCTGCAAAAGGAAATGAAGCCTCCAACAACCATTATCTGCCCCAAGGCACAGGGCTCTGCTCTGTGCTGGACGGACAGACAGTGCTTTTAGCTGCCTTCCTAAGAGCTGCTTAATTACAGCCATTGGCAGTGATTAATAATCAGCTATCAGTGTGATCACATGCTTGCCGTGACCATCAGGGACAGTGGATCCAGCAGTGGAGCTCAGGTTACCAGCAGCAAGGAGGAAACTTGTGGTTTTGTGTGCTGGCAGTAAATTAACTGCATCTATGGAACCACACAAGAGAAACTCCAGGGCCAGCAACCAGATCTCTCACCCAGCTTTTTTTAAGCCTTAGCAAGATGACTCTGCAATTTAATTACTGCCTTAGACAGCTACAAAGCCATTGGACAGGACTGGAGAACCAAGGAAGAACTTGCACTGGGGAATGAAATCACCCATAAAAATGGAGGTATAAAATAAGAAAAATTAAGTATTTAATTTCTGCTGGTGCTGTGATTGAGCAGAGGCAGGGGGCTGCTGTGGGCAGGGCTGGGGGTCACCTGCTGGACTGGCCAGGCAGTGCCAGGGCTCTCCAGCACAAAGGGAGGGCCAGGGCTGGGCAGAGCAGCTGGGGATGCTGCTCCTGCCTGTGCTGCTCTGTTCAGGTGAGCACTCCGTGTGTGGAGACATGAGGCTTGACTCCATCTCAGAAGGCTGATTTATTATCTTATTATAATAAATTATATATTATATTAATGATAATTAATAATAATATATTATCAAGATAATATAAAATAACAATATCATATCGATATGTCTATATCAATTTATAATAATATATTATCAATATAATATAAAATAATAATACAATATCAATATAATGTCGATATCAATAATAATATATTATCAATAATAATTAATTCTTATATATTATATTAAAATACTACATAAAAACTATACTAAAAGAATAGAGAGAAAAGAATGATCAGAAGGCTACAAAGAATAAGAATAGAATAGAATAGAATAGAATAGAATAGAATAGAATAGAATAGAATAGAATAGAATAGAAGAGAATAGAATGCATAACAAAATCCTGTGACTGCTCACAGCCTCGGTACTGGTGGCTGTGATTGGTCATCAAGTGAAAACAACCCACACAGACTAATAAAAAATACACCTGTTGCATTCCACAGCAACAAATAATTATTATTTGCATTTCTTTCCTGAGGCCCTCGGCTCTCAGGAAGGAGAAACCCTACCAAAAGATTTTTCATAAAATATCACAATAACACTGCTGAGGGCCAGGCAGGGCAGCCCCCACTCCCACCCCCACCATGGCATGGCACGATGCAGCTCGGGAGGATGCAGCATTAATTTTTCAGAGCCAAGAGAGGCAGAGCTGCCTTCCTTTTACAGGGAAAAAGCACTGAGAACACCGAGGTCCATCCCTGAAGCACTCAGGGGGCCCTGGGGCACCCCAAAGCCAGGGAATGCCCCAGTGCCCCTTCCCTCAGACACAGGGGTTTGGCTCTGGAGAGCAGAAACATCTCCCAGCAGATGGAGCACAGCGTCCTCCTGCTGCTCCTGAGGGTCCCCTGCTCCTCCGTGGGGAACAAAACCACCTCCAGCTGGCACAGGAGGGAGGGAGAGCCTCAGCCTGGCCCTGGGTTTTCACTCAGGTAATCAATTCACATGACCAAAGAGAACTGGAACCTTATTAAAATGACATATTCTCAAAGATGGACTGAAAATTCTGAAAGGAGTCCACAATTCGAATCCTCTTTGTTTTTCCTTTTGAGTGGGGGAAGGGGAAACCCCTCTCAGAGAAAAACATAACGTCAAGGGAAAAGAAATATTCTAAAATATTCTTAAAAATGCAAAAGCAGCCCCGCCTCGAAGCAATGGCTCAGTGATGCATAATTAGAGCAAAGAAAGCTGCAGAGAGATAAACTTGAACAGCACCCTCTGCATGGCAGATAAAGCACAAACCCTCCAAAGAACCTTATCCATCCCCAGCAGAGCTATTCTCCTTAGCCAGGGACACTATCTAAAAAGCAACAGCCTATCCTATAATTAACAGCTCCTCCAAGCCTCACATTTTCCACACCTGAAGCCTGCCTCAAAGCCCACCCAGTGCCACCCTGCCATGGCAGGGACACTTCCACTGTCCCAGGTGCTCCCAGCCCTGCCCAGCCTGGCCCTGGGCACTGCCAGGGATCCAGGGGCAGCCACAGCAGCTTTGGCACCCTGACAGGGGTGAACACCCTCCTAATATCTACTCCAAACCTCCTCTCTCTCAGTTTGAATCCTGTCACTGCAGGCCCTTGGAAACACTTCCCAGTATCCCAAACCTCCTCTCTCTCAGTTTGAATCCACTCCCTTGTCCTGTCACTGCAGGCCCTTGGAAACACTTCCCAGTATTCCCAGTTTCCCACGGGCGCTGGGAAATGAGGCCAGCCCAAAGCTGCTCTTTGCCCCCGGCCACCAAAGTGGCAGAAGGACTGGGCACAGCCAGGACACCGCCCTGGGGAAGCCAAAAAAACCCCAAAAAAGCCTCCAGCAGCCTCTGCCTGGCGAGGCTCAGTGACCACACCGAGGCTGGCAGCCCAGCAAGTTCCTCTGCAGTGGAAGGGACACAAACCCAAGGCTGCAGAAAAGGTGAGACCCACGTGCCCCGCCGAGGGCAGGGGGACAGGGCAGCTCCAGCGGGGTGATCTGTGCCAGGCACCACCAGCCCTGGCACAAAGGAGAGGGGCAGAGCCCCCCAGAGCCCCCCTGTGCCAGGGCAAGAGCGGGCACAGCCCGGGGGACACGGCCCGGGACTGTCCCCAAGCAGAGCAGGGACAATCCCAGCATCACAAGGCTGGGCCAGAGGCTCGGCTTACACAGCCCAGCCCAAAATAAACCCGGCCTTGGCAGCACTGCCTGCGGGGGGTGCAGGGGCCCTGGGGCACAGGGGCGAGAAAACGCAGGAAAAGGAAAGGAACCCTGCAGCAGCAGGAAGGTGCAGTGCCCGGGCAGGTGCTGGGTGGATTTGCACGCTCTGGGGATCACCAGTGACACGCCAGGCAGCTGCACCCCTCGTGCCAGCCACAAAATACACAAAAAATACCCACAAAATACCCGCAAAATACACAAAATACCCACAAATACACAAAATACCCACAAAATACCCACAAAATACCCAAAATACCCACAAAATACCCTAAATACCCATAAATACACAAAATACCCACAAATACACAAAATACCCACAAAATACCCACAAAATACCCAAAATACCCACAAACATCCACAAATATCCACAAAATACCCAAAATACCCACAAAATACTCAAGAAATACCCACAAAATACCCAAAATTCCCACAAAATACCCAAAATACCCATAAATACACAAAATACCCACAAAATACCCACAAATATCCACAAAATACAAAATACCCAAAATACCCACAAAATACATAAAATACCCACAAAATACCCATAAAATACCCACAAATATCTACAAAATATCCACAAAATACAAAATACCCACAAAATACCCACAAGTACCTACAAAATATCCACAAAATACAAAATACCCACAAAATACCCAAAAATACCCACAAAATACATAAAATGCCCACAAAATATCCACAAAATACCCACAAAATACCCAAAAAATACCCAAAAAATACATAAAATACCCACAAAATATCAACAAAATATCCACAAAATACCCACAAAATACCCAAGTGATCACCCAGGTAACTCCCAGACGTGGCCAAGCCTCTCGGCTATTGTCTCTGCTCAGCATCTTCCTTCCCCGTTATTTAATCAGAAAGGGCACAAAGCACTCGCTCTTGTTGTTAAAAATGAAAATTCAACAAACACGAGCCAAGTGCTACCTCTGAAAGGTGATCAAACACTAACAGGGCTTTAAAAAAAGCATCATTCCATCTGAATTACATAATTAAAACAGAGTGACAGCACCGTGAAACAACACCAGCCTGAAAGGCTGTTCATAATTCATAAGCAACTTCCTTTTCATCTCCTTTGTGTACTTCTCCAAGCACTGTTTTTCCCAGAAGCTGACAGAGGAAGGAATATGGACGATGATCTCATTAATTGCAGGCACTAATATGCAGCGAGCTGAGAAATTACATGGAATTTCAGGATATCTAGTCAAGAGGACAGAAAACTTTTAGGTTCAAAGAGAGATAGATGCCCTCTTGGAGCAACAGGACAGAGTTGCAGAAGAAATTGTCTCCAAAATGCATTTTTTCTTTTTTATTTTTATATTTTTTCCATATTTATTATAGTTTAAGTAACTCCATGAAGGTCTGAAAATTTTGTCCTTTTCTCCAGGGACTGGACACTTTTCTAAGAGACACGAGATGGGTCTGGG